AAATATATTACAAATAAAACAATTTTTGGTCGGGGTCTTATTATGTGTTCTAAGCTGACCTCAAGTTTAAGATCCTCATGCCTCCACTTACTTACAGATGTCTGTCATCGCACTCAGCCCAATAGTATATAAATGTATATATATGTACACACACACACACATATATATATATATACATATACACATGTATATATTTTGATGCAAGGTCTTACTGTGTGTGTAGCCCCAGCAGGCCTCGCTATGTAGACCAGGCTGGCCTTGAACTCTGCTTCGAGTCCTGGGATTAAAGGCATGTGCCATCTCGCCCAGCCATAATTTCTTAAAATTAATTCCTTGGCCGGGCATGGTGGTGCACGCCTTTAATCCCAGCACTTGGGAGGCAGAGACAGTGTATGGGGAGGTCAGAAAAGGGTGTCAGATCCCCCGGAACTGGAATTATGGACAGTTGTTAGCCTCCATGTGGGTGCTGGGATTTGAACTTGGGTCCTCCGCAAGAGCAGCCAGTGTTCTTAACCGCTGAGCCATCTCTCCAGCCCCTTGATTTCTTTCTGAGATGGGGGCTCACTATGTCACCTGGCCTCCAGCTCCCAGTCTCAAACTATCCTCCTGCTTCATCTTCTCTAGCATCTTATTTATATGTACTAGAAATTTTTAATCTACCATGATGGATGTGACATTTGTGTCTTATCTGAGATACATATGATTTGGGGAACACCCTGGCTAGGGTGAGCAAGGGGAACAGGCATGGAGTTGAGACCAACACGTTCTGTTCCCCTCTGCAGAGACAAAGTCAAATCCCATTCCACTACACAAGTGCTGTGGGATCCTGGAAAAGTCCCTGTTCCTCTGATCCTCTGCTTCTTTGTGGCTCAATGCAAATGCCTAGTACAAACTGAATGAAACACTTTCCCTTCTCAGTGGACAAACAAGGTCCTTGCCCCACTGGCCCTGCAGACCTGACATGGGGCGTGGACTGAGTTTCCAAGTAACATCCCTCCTGGTACAAATGACCTTATTCATAAAGTGTGTCTAAGACCCAGCATGGTGGCACATGCCTTTAATCCCAGCACTTGGGAGGCAGAGGCATGCAGATCTTTGTAAATTGGGGCCAACCTAATCAACAACCTAATCTATATACTGAATTCTGGGCCAGCTGGGGCTACAGGGAGACCCTGTCTCAAAACAAACAAACAAAGTCTGTCTAGACAGGAAAGACTATGAAGGAAATAATATAAATAATTAGTGGGCAGGTACAGGGACTGTTATTGGACATCAAAACTTTGCCTAGGGAACTATTGCAATCCTGGGGACATGGGGTTCCCTCTAGGCAGCGGTTCCCTCCCATTATGGTCTTCTTTCTCTGTACTCGAGAAGCCAGAGAACAGCTGCAGTCTCCTGTGAGAACCCTGTTTCCCTGTTTGTTTGTTTGCTTGTTTGTGGCAGAGATTTTGCTATGTGGCCTAGGCTGTCCATAAATCCATGATTCTCCTGCCCCTACAATCTGAGTGCTGTAAATTACAGGCCTATGCCACCATGCCTGACTCCTGAAAATCTCAAAGGTCTGCAATGCCCAAGGCTGTCCTGCTGACACATTTCCCATCCTTTCATATTTATAGGTAAAGTCAGTGCCATGTATAGGTCAGATTGAGCCAAAGACCCCAGTGTGAGCACTGGAAGAGAAACTAACATCTACCTTCTGGGGCTGTACACCTAGATATTCTATAAACAGCCGCTGTCAGAATATACAATAAGCATTAGTCCCCCCTCTCTCTCCAAGGTAGGCAATACCTGCTTTTGTGGTCTGCCCCTCCTTTCTTCCTTGGTGGAGGAAGGCCTACTTCTGGCTTCCAATCTGGACAGTCAGACGCTTTTTCCTTCTTCTTTGCTTTTTCTCTTTCTTCTCCTTTTTCTCCTTTAGGGTTTCCAGGGGAGTCTGAAAATAAAAGGTTGGTATTGTCTCTTCACTCGGTGTCTTCTCAGCGGAGCCCTGCACGACTTTGAGGAGCGAGGAATAAAAGGCCAGGACTGGGGGACAGCTGCACACACACACCCATCACGCATGTGCCCATCACACACAAATGCATATATAACACATGCACCTCATGTGGGAGCATGAACACAGTGGTACACGCACTTGTGCAGTCATGCAAATGTGTAAAGACATGTACTAAACATAGAAGCACAGAAACAGAAATACGTACAGACACATACAAGAAAGCTCACACACTACAGATCTCGTACTTGTGCAGAGAACACTGGTGAACTCCCTAATTGGGAGTGCCACTCATTAAAGTCAGTCAATGACATAAGCTGTCAGGCACTACCTCTCCCACATGCTGAGGAACTGATCCCAGTTCCCATCCACCTTGCCCGCTCTCACCCAGCAGCCGTTTCCAGTTCTTGATGAGGACTTTGGCCAAGGATACCACCTCCTTGTCTGAGCAGTGCTTTCGAACTCCATTGACAGCTACGCCAATTCTGGTGGTCTGTGAGGAGAGGATTAAGGACTGCTCCAGGAACTGACAAGCAGGACAGGCCACCACTACCCCCTACCTAGACCCCTCCAGAATCCTCGTCCTGACCTCTGTAGAGGGAATAACCCTGATCCTACATCTATCCTAAGCTGCCACCCTGCTTGAGACCCAGGTCAACACTGATAACAACCATGGTGGAAAGCTGGGGTGGGGACTGGGTGGGAGTGCTGGCTATCATTAGGACCCTGTCTCATTCCTAGTCCCCTAGAAGTTTTGAGGAAAAGTCTTGACTTAGACTCACCTCTAGGCTGCTATACCTGGGGTTTGTACTTGTTTTCCAGAGCCAGAAACTTCTGGCAAAGTTTGGGGGTACCTGGGAAATCCAGGGAGAATCAGAAAAAAGGGGATTTCTCCCTCTCCCTGGGTCATGGGCCTTCTAGATTCCACAGGTCTTGGGCCTAGGTGAGGATTTAAGGAAAGCAGCCTCTCACTAAATGCAGGGACCCTTACCCCTGAGCCTGGGAAAGAACCTGCCCCCACGAGACTCTCCATGCCTCTCTCAGCCCCCATGTCTGCATCTCACCATGCCCCTCCCCCAGGTCTTTCTCTCCCACTGAGGCACTGCCCCAAGGGCCACCCCCCACACACCTGCAGCAGCTGGATGGACATCTGGCAGCTGTTCAGCTTCTTCAGAAGGTTGAGGGCCCCTTCCTGTGGGAGGCCAGGAGAGTACTGAGGCACAGGCCCCTTTGACAGAGAACACAGACAGACGTATGGTCCAAGACAACCAGCAGGGGTGGGGGTACACAGAAGTAGAGAGAAGAGAAAGTTCCTGTCACAGACCAGCTTGCTAACTGCACTTCCTACCCCGTCCCTCAGCTGGGCCTTGGTGCAGCCTGGATGAACCTTAGCCTTTGCTTCTGCCTGGCATGTCTCCCTCCCATGTATGCCTCCGAGCCACACGTCTGCCTGGCCTTTGAATGTTGTGTATCTGTAGCCTTCGTGCCTCTCTCTCTCTGTATCTCTTTCCCTTTCCTACTGTGGGCCTCCAAGGATGAGAACTATAAAGCTTTTTATTTATTTGATGTGTGTGTATGTGTGTGTGGGTCTCTCACTCTCTAAATACTGAGGCAGGGTCTCTCACTTGAACCCAGAACTTGTCGATTTGACCAGTCTAGCAAACCATCTTCTCTGGGGATCCCCTGTCTCTGCCTCCTGCACATGTTAAGATTATGGGCAGGCTGCAGGGACCTGCTGGGTGTTTGAACTCATCCTTAAGCTTGCATGGTAAGCACTCTGCCTGCTGAGCCATCTCCCCAACCCCCGAGTTGCTCATTTTTTCTTACATATATTTATTTTGTTGCAGGGGTGTGTGTGCCTGCCATAGTGCATATGTGAAGGTCAGAGGACAACTTATGGGAGCTGGTTCTTTCCTTCCACAATGTGGGTCCCCGGGGGTCCAACTCAAGTCAGGTCATCAGGCTTGGCAGTAAGTGCCTTTACTCACTGAGCCTTCTCCCCTGTTTGCCCCTGGTTTGTTTTAATTTTATGTATATGAGTATTTTGCCTGCATGTATGTAAGTACGTACATAATGTGCATACAATGTCTGTGGAGGCCAGAAGAGGACAATGGATCCCCTGGAGCTGGGGTTACAGATGGTTGTTAGCCGCCATGTGGATGCTCTTAACCACTGAACTATCTCCAGTCCCACTATGCTTTGAGTTTTGACATACACATAAACCCATAAAAACCATCCCCATCCTCAAGAACACTGACATCATCCCAGACATTTCCTTGGGCTCTCTGTAATACATCCCTTCCATGACTCCTAACCCTAGGCAACCACAATTTTGATTTTTGTCACTGTAGGTGACTTTGTGTGTTTTTTCTCAGGTACCATCTGCCTTGGTTTTTGAGACAGGGTTTCTTACCAAGACATGAGCTGACTAGACAGTGAGCCCTAGGGATCTGCCTGTCTGAGATTATAAGCATACACCATCTTTTATTTTTCCTTGAAATCATTATCTTAATTTTTTTGTTTTTATTGAATTTTTGTATATTTCATAGAGAATATCTCAAACAATCTTAATCATTTTATACTCCCATCCCCACCAACACCCTCCCACAGCCTCCTCCACTAGAACAAATATACTCTGTCATCTGTGTTAGATTGAACTCAGGTCCTCATGCTTATGCAGCAAGTACTTTACCAACAGAGGGGTTTCCCTATCCGATGACTTGGCTTTTATTTATTTACTTTTTTTTTTTGTCTTTTTGAGATAGAGTCTCCCTGTAGCCCCAGCTGGCCTGGAACTCACTATGTAGACCAGGCTGACCTGAAACTCATAGAGATTCGCCTCCGGAGCGCTGAAACTAACAGGCACTCCCAGCTATTTTTAAGTAGTTTTTGGTCTTTTTGAGAGAGTCTCCTTGTAGTTGGCCTGGAACTCACGATGTAGACCAGGATAGCCTGAATTCACAGAGATCCGCCTGCCTTTGCCTCCTGAATGCTGGGACTAAAAGTGTGTGCCACCATGCCTGTCTATTTTTAAGTATTTTAAAAAACAGAATCTTACTATGTAACCCAAGCTGGCCCTGAACTATTGAGCCTCCTGCATCAGCCTCCGATGTGCTAAGGCTAATGGCCTGTGCCACTACACTGGCCTTTTAGTACAGTATCGGGGCTGAAGAACCCGCTCAGTGTTTAACAGTGCTTGCTGCTCTTGCAGAGGCCCCAAGTTGGGTTCCCAGCAACCATGTTGGGAGGCTCACAACCACCTGTAACTCCTGTTTTGGGAGGATCCAATGCCTCTGACCTCCACAGGTACCTGCACTCACATGCACATATTCCCACAGATATATTTATAAATGAATTTTTTAAAGTACAGCATGAAATTTTTTTCTGGTTTAATTATTCAGAGATTTATTCATATTGTCTCAGAGATCAGCAGTTCCTTTTGTTGTTGAGTAGTTTTCCATTGTGTAAATCTCTTTAGCCAAAGCTGTATGGAACATATCAGAAGAATTCCTGGTACACAGCAAAAGTCCCAGTGAATGAGACTTATGGGTTGCTCCAGCTTGGAACTACTATAAGCACAGTTCCTTCCTATGAACATTCACCTTCACATCTTTTGGACTTATTTTTGAAACAACGTTCACTAGCCTGGGCCAACCTATAACTCATGATCTTCCTGCCTCAACCTCCAGAGTGCTGGGACATGATCAGTCCTCACCATCAAGTCTTCATGGGGATAGATACTGTCATTCCTCTTGAGTAATGAGAACTGCTTTTATCTCTAAGACCATAGAGCTCTGCACAGAGACCCAGCTGCTCCCTGAGTGAATGAATTCAGGAAGGAATGAAACTGGGTCTGGGGAGACGACTTAGCAGTTAAGAGCACTGGCTGCTCTTGCAGAGGACCCAGGTTCAGTTCCCAGCACCCACATGGAAGCCCATAACCATCTGTAACTCCAGTTCCAGGGAAATCCAACAGCCTCTTCTGGCCTCTGGCAGGCATTATATACAAGTGGTGTGCACATACATATGCAGGCAAAATGCCAATACACATAAAGTAAAAATAAATCTTTTTTAAAAAGAAGGAAGTATGGGGCTAGAGAGATGACTCAGCAGTTAAGAGCACTGGCTGCTCTTGCAGAGGACCCAGGTTTGGTTCCCAGCATCCACATGGTGGCTAACAACCATCCATAACTCTAGTTCCAGGGAATCCGATGCTCTCTTCTGACTTCCGTGGGCATTGCACAACATGGGTGTACTTACATACATGCAGGCAATGTACCCATACACATAAAATAAAAATAATAATTTTGTTTTTAAAAAGAAGGGGGCTGGAGAGATGTCTCAGAGGTTAAGAGCTCTGGCTGCTCTTGCAGAGGACCCGGGTTTGATTCTGAGCACCCACATGGCAGCTAACAACTGGTCTGTAACTCCATTTCCAGGGGAATCCTATAACTTCTCTTTTGACCACAGGCATTGAACAACATGCTACATACACACAAAATTTTTTTTTTTTAATTCCAGCACTTGGGAGGCAGAGGCAGGTGAGTCTCTGTGAGTTCAAGGCTAGCTTGAGATTAGCTCCCTGGGGAGCTAACTATGTCCTGTATGTCACTTCCATGGATCCATCTACCAGCCATTCTGCCAGGACCTGGACCACATCCTGTGGCTTGCCCTCTGTTAGTCCTTAGCCTCCCTCCCTTGGCACTGAGTTTCAGCATGTTTCCAGAATGACATGCTGATGTGTACATATGAACTTGCAGGCACACAACACCACCCCAATATTAATGAAAGACTTACTATATGCTGGAAATTCTTTCAACTATATTGCTTACATTGAATTCTCACAAAGAGGAGTTGGAGATGTAACTCAGTTGGAGAGTGCTTGCCTAGCACCCACAAAACCCTGGAATTCATGCCTGGAGTGCTGGTGCACACCCAAAATCTCCACCCCTGGGTGTGTACATACTGAGTTTGAGACCAGCCTAGTTAAAGACCCTTAGACCCACATGGTGTCATGCAATACCTGGGGAATTCAGAAGAAGCCATCGTATCCCCTGGAACCTGAGTTATGGACAGTTGTTAGCTGCCATGTGGGTGCTGGGATTTGAACCTGAGTCTTCTGCAAGAACAACCAGTGTTCTTAACCACTGAGCCATCTCTCCAGCCCCTACTATCCCATTTATACAGAATTGCTACCCTATTTTCACAGAAAAGAAAACCAAGAAACTTTTTTTTTTTTTTTTAAAGATTTATAGCTGGGTGTGGTAGCACACGCCTTTAATCCCAGCACGTGGGAGGCAGAGGAGGTAGGCAGATTTTTGTGAGTGCAAGGCCAGCCTGGTCTACATAGTGAGTTCCAGACCAGTTGGGGCTACAGGGAGACTGTGTCTCAAAAAGACCAAAAAAAAAAAGAAAAAGAAAAAAAGATTTACTTAAAAATTTTATTTGCGTGTGCATGTGTGTGTCTGTGTCTGTGTGAGTATCTACTGAGTGTGGAGTATGTGAGTAACCAAGAGGGCCAGAAGAGGAAATTAGATCCCCTGGAGCTGGAGTTACAGGCAGTTGTGAACCATCTGATGTGGGTGCAGGAAGCCGAATTCAGATCCTTTGCAAGGGCAGCACATGCTCTTAACTGCTCAAGCATTTCTCCATCTCCATTGTTTTTGTTGTTGTTGTTGCTGTTTTTTTGTTTTTTTGAGACAGGGCCTCATTACTTAATATTGCCTGGTCTGGAACTCACCATGTGGAGCAGGCTGGCCTTGAACTCACAGAGATCTGCCTGCCTCTACCTCTTGAGTACTGGGATTAAAGGTATGGCTACCATGCCCGACTGAAACTAAGAAATTTTGTAAGGAACTGAGCTGGAATTCAGATACTGGCCTTTGAGCTCCAAGTACTATATAAATTGCACTGGGATGGATGTAAATTTGGCACTACATGCAGAATCACAGAATATCAATATGGATAAGTGCAGTCACCTGCTGGTCGGTATGTGACAGCCCATTGTCAAGGGGAAAAACCTGATTTACAGTGTTTGCCAATTTCTGTGGTGTAAATGCTCTTCCAATGGTGAATTTCAAGCTTTTTTCAACACACTTCTCCTGAATTAAAGAAAATCTTTCTTCTTTTTTTAGACAGGGTCTCACTATGTAGCCTTCGCTGGTCTGGAACTCACTATGTAAATGAGGCTAGCCTCAAACTCACAGAGATCTACTTGCCTCTGTCTCTGTCTCCTGGGTACTGGGATTAAAGGCATGTGCCACCATGCCCAGCTGAAAGAGATTTTTTGAAATTTTATTTATTTATTATTTATTTATGTATTAATTAATTAATTTATTGTGTGTGCATGCACTTGTCAAGGCACACGTGGAGGTTAGAGAACAGCTTTTGGAAGTCTTTCCTTTTACCATGTGGGGTTCAGAAATTGGACCAGGTTGTTAGGTTTAGCAGCAAGCCCCTTTACCCACTGAACTATTTCACTGATCCAAGAAGATGTTTTTAATTGTAAGCATTTTTTAAATGCCTGTGTTTAATAAACACCTTGCAAAATTCCTGAAAATTCCACATCAGTGTTCAACCAGTTTTGGTTCACCAGGGGGTACATGTTTCTGCATAACTGGGTCATATTTGAGAGTAAAATACACGAGCCTGTGCTGTGTCCGGGTTCATAAAGCTGTATGCCAACACTGCTGGGTGTGTCTCTCTGGGTGTATAGCCAGCAAGCAGTACCTATGGTCCAGGTGCGAAGCTATGAGGATGCAGCCCAAGTCCACTTATGTCTATTTGTGTCTGTGGGGCAATGTCTGAAGGTGTGAATGAGGCTGTTTGCTTTGCATATCTGGGTGATGCTGTGTTGTGTATGCACATATGTTGTTGTCTTTAGGTATCTTTCTGCTTTAACTCAAATGGCCAGTATGCATTACGTACAGCATGCGTGTCGAGTTGGTGTTGGTAGATGCAATCAGACAGAAGTTGCTTGCTAGGTTGCATGCGTGTGGCTGTCTATTGACCTGTCACGATGTGTCTGTGTAGCTATGACAGCTGGTGTTTGGTTGTCTGTTTCAAGCTGTTTAGCTGGTGCATGCTTACAGCATCTGACAAAGCCCTAAGTCGCTGAGACTTTGCAACTAGCAATAAACTCCAGGCCTGGGCTGCAACGTGGAGGATCCATCTTATTACAGGAAGTGTGTCCTCCTTGAGCTAACCACCACTGGGCAGGCCCACTTTCACTCACTGAGCAGGCCTGCCTTTCTGGGCCAGAAGCCCAGATCTCCATGCCCATACAGGCACTGATAGAGTTCAGGCACAGACTCCAGGAACAGACGTGGCTGTACACTGGCTCTGTGCTGCAAGGACTCTGTGGCCAGACTTGTAGCTTTCCTGAATACAGCACTGGACACTTCCACAGGACACATTCCCTAAAGGCACATTTCACAGAAGAGGAAACTGAGGCCCAAAGGTAGGCAGAAGGAGCTTCTTCCTACCTCTGACTAGTCTTACCCAGAAGCCTAGAGTAAACAAGGGCTCTAGGCTGGGACAGCCTGTCTACCTGAAATGGCATTCAGCTCAGGATACCTGGCTGGGCTCTACCATCTCCAGCTGGGAACCTGCCCTGTGAGCTGAGGCTCAGTTTACTGGACCGTGGAGGAGTCTAGAGCATGTCAGTGGAGGGGAGGAAGAAGCTCCAGCCCTCTGCAGGTGCATGCTACATCTTTTTATATCTGCCCTGGCCATATAGAAGCAAGTATCACTAGCTCTTACCCCCTCAGCCGTCCCCACTACCCCCAGGTAGGCAATCATCTCTATAGATAAGGAAACTGAGGCTCCCACCATTGTACCAACACCACCATCTCATTATTGTCCAGCAGCTAGTCAAGGACATGCCTGAAACTCCTTAGCTGTTACCCCTTGATAGGATGTGTAACTTGCAGAAGAGCCACAAGCCTCATTAGGGAAAGCCATAAATCCCTTAAAGTGGCTAATTGACCCTAAATTGGCAGCCTGGCCTTGCTTAAGACTTATCAATTGGTCACCCCTGGACTGAGGGAGACTTTTTATGGAGCCAACCTGACTCCTTTATGCCCTAAGATAGCTGGGCTGCCTGAGAAAAGTAATCTTGGGAGAGACCCTCAAGGACACCAGACCCTGGCACTGAGTTAACTCCTGCAGCTGTGTTCAACAGAGTTCAATGGCCCCTCCCTTGGATGCAGATGCCTTCTTCAAGTGGAAAGGCTTCTGTCCTTACGCTGTCTCTTCTGAATAAAAGGACACATTCCTTGCCTGTTGCAGGTCTAACTCTGGTTCTTATTTCTTTTCTTTTCTTTTTTTTTTTTTTTTTTTTTTTTTTTTTTGCTTTTTGAAGCAGGGTTTCCCTGTAGCCCCAGCTGTCCTGGAACTCATTATGTAGACCAGGCTGGCCTTGAACTCACAGAGATCCGCTTGCCTCTGCCTCCCAAGTGCCTGTGCCACCACACCGGGCTACTGGTTCTTATTTCTTAACTCAAATTTCTGCCCTTCTAAATCTAACACCCCTCCTCTGGCCTCTACCACTTTTCCTGAAACCTCCTTGCTTAGGATCCCAACCTTTTCCAAGCTCCTAGAATGTACTGGCAACACAGGTCCTGATGCAGCACGTTTCTAAAGATTATGGAAAGAAAAGGACCATGGGGCAAGTCAGAGTGGAGGGGTTTGTCCGTGGGTCCTCTGTCTTCTTCCTTCCAGGCTGAGTCCACACCCTCCAGAACGCAAGGCCAAGTCTGCCAGCCTCCAGCCTGAGGCAAAGATCGCTAGGTAGATCAAACATTAACTTTCTGTCTGGCTCCTGCTCGACGCTGCTGGGACTGAGAGCTCAGGGACCCTCATATCTCATACAGGGCTGTTAGACCCTCATCCCGCCACCTCTCCCCATCGTGCACCTCCCCCACCCGGCAGCCCAGGCCTCCCCCTAACCCCCGCACCTGTTCACCCTCCGCCCGCCAGGGCCCCACCCTGCGGCCAAGGAAAAAGTTGCAAACAGACCGCTCCTAGCACCCAGGCAGCAGCCCCGGCGCTCGGGTCCTACAGGTGATCCACTCCCCCGCGGCTGCAAACGCAGCTTAGCACCCCTTCTCAACCTAAATCACCTAGCATTTGTCCCTCCTGCTCCCGCCATCTCTGCAGCTCCTGGGGCTTGGGGGCATGTCAAGGAAGAGTCCCGGGGCTTCCAGAGCCCTTCCCCGGGTTCAGGTCACACCACCCGCTTTCCCAGCTCTGCCCCGGCTGCCCAGGAACAAACCCGATCACTTCACACCGACGTGCATGAGCCGCGCTTCCCGGGGACCGCACGAACCCCTCGCGACTTGTGCATGCACACGCCCACACCAGGTGCCCAGCAAGTGGTCCAGGGAGTCCCTGTCTTGCAGTAGCTCGCCCCCCTTGGCTCGTTGGTCCCGTACGCGCCCTCGGGCAGCCCGGTCCGCACGCCCACCGAACCCGCGTTGCACCTCCGTGGAGGAGGCTGCGGTCCAAACTCTGCAGTCTCACCGTCTTCTTCCTGGCCACCATCTTCTCCAGCTTTTTGGCAATCCTCAGCAGCTCCTTTTCCTGGCCCATGTTGGTCGGCTATGCCCCGCGGGGCGAGGGGCGCAGGGCTGCAGCGGGCGCCAAAGCGCAGGGCGCAAGCGGCGCAGGGCCCCAAACACACTAGACACTCAGGCCGGGCGGGGGCGGGGCTCCCCTCCCCGCGTGGGGGGAGGGGTGGCGGGCACTAAATATAGACTTCAAGGACTGCCCGGGCAAAGATTGCCCGCGCCGGGCCGGTCGCGCCTCTGGGGAAGGACGAGGCAGCAGAGAGGGGCTCCTTCCTATTCGACCCTCCCAGGGGTGCCCAGGGCTGTAGGGATAAGATCTCTCTTGGGCAGGAGAGCGCCTGGGGTGCTTCTGGAGCTGCGAGATGAGTTCGGGGTTCCCACATCTGAGCATCGTTGCACTCCAAGACGGAGTTCTTAACTCCTGGCTATGCCCAAGAGGGAGCAGTAAGTTGGATTCATCTCAACTTCAGAGATGCCCTGGGCCTGTTGCAGGCACGCGTCTCCAGCTGTTTCTCGGTCTGTAAACTCAGAGCTCATTTTGCTGTCTACTTTATTTCAAGGCCGGGCTTGTTTTTGTTTTTGTTTTGTTTTGTTTTAAAGACGCTCGACCAGGGTCACACTATTCAGAGGTAAAGCTTTGAGTGACTCTTAGGGTCACAGAACTCATTAGGTGTGCATAGAGGTGTGGGGTGGGAGTGGGGGTTGAGTTTCAAAGGGTGATTTTGGGTGGAGGGAACAACTGTTCCTATCACTCGCAGCTGTGCACACAACTGCTCCCCTGTGGAGAGATCTTCCAAGAGTTCTCTGCAGACCTAGTTCCTTTCCTAATGGACAGAAAATGACCACCCTGGGAGGGTCTCTGATCTGGGAGTAGAAGTGGGCCACAAGTGTGTGGGTGGAGATCTGTGAAATCCCATCTTTGTAAGATAACCTCGGAGAACCCTATCCTGGTCTGGGCCAGAGGTAGCCTGTTATGGACACCTGCTGTGTGATAAATGTCCAGGATAAGGTGGGGTTTGCCGGCCGGGAATTCATTAGGTAGACCAGGCTGGCCTCAAACTCACAGAGATCTGCCTGCCTCTGCCTCCCAAGTGCTGGGATTAAAGGTAAGCACCACCACTCCCAGTCCGGGGATAAGTTTTTTTCATTAGTTCAACACATGTTTTCAATCGGCAAGGCAGACCCCATCGCAGCAGGCTGGACAAGAGTAATGTAAAACTGGGGCTGGAGAGATGGCTCAGCAGTAAACAGCACTGGCTGCTCCTGCAGAAGACTTGGTTCAGTTCCCAGAACCCACATGATAGCTAATAACTCCAGAACTGTCTGTAGCTCCAGTGCCAGGTGATCTGACGGCCCTCTTCTGACCTCCCCCTGCATGGCACAACATGAATGCAGGCAATATACTCATACACATAAAATAAAAGTAATAAATATTATAAAAGAAAGTACCACAAGACCAACAGGAACATGATCAACAACTGTGTTCAGCACAGCTGGGTGGGGTAAGGAAAGGTGTAGGGCACTGTAAAGACACATTTGAGGGGACCTGTTCCAGCTGTGGTGTCATCCCCTCTGAAGAAAATTAATTTACTGAAGCAAAGGGCAGAGTGGGTGCAGAAAAGAGTGTCTGTGTAAGAGAGGAAGCAGCATGTGTTTAGTCTATTTACTGAATACCTACTATGTTCCAGGCAGTTCTATCACTGGGTATCCAGAGGGGAGCAAAGCAGTCTTCCTGGAGCTCAATAAGCAAAGCTTAGGGATGGGAGGGTGTCCCAAATGTCTGTGTTGGAGGACCTGAAAGAAATCATGTGGCTATGGCACAGGGGTGTGAAGAGAGTGGGCAGAGGGAAGGTAGGGTCTCACCTAGTTGCCAAGGCCAGATTTCTTTGACTGGAGTTTCTGGGAGGCCTCTTGGCCAACCCCAAATTCCTCTAGGTTGAAGGAACAGTTTCCTGTGGTTTCTTAGGATAGCCTTCCAGATAAATTAAGGAGCTAGACATGTGGCTCAGTGGTAGAGTGCTTGCCCAGCATTTGCAGGACCCTGGGTCCCATACCCAGCACTGCAACAAACAACAAAAACCAGATTGCATTTCTTCAAACTTCCAGTCCCCACCATTATCAAAGCTTGAAGGATCCAAAGAAAATACATCCAACCTTTTCATCTTACAAATGAGGAGACTGAAGCCCAGGCAGTGGGACCCCTCAGGAATTCACTTCTGGAATGTAACCAACACTGCTGGTACCAATCAGATACCCTCTGCCCACCTGTCCACCTGGAAGGTCACGCAGACAATTCTTAACAATTTCCGTATCTCTCACTGAGGATGTGAGGCTGGCAGGGAATTGATGCTTGCAGAGAGGCCCAGCATTGGTGGTAAAATACCCCACTCTTGGGACTGGAGAGATAGTTCAGTAGATGAGAGCACTGGCTGCTCTTGCAGAGGACCTGAGTTTGGTTCCCAGCACCCACATGACAGCTAACAATGGTCCATAACTCCAGTTCCAGGGGATTCAACACCCTCTTCTGGCTTCACATACATGCAGGTAAAACATTCATATACATAAAACTAAATAAAAAAAAAAAACTACTAAAAACAACCCAAAAAACTATTGTCTTTTTTAAAGTTCCTTAGCAAGATTAAGGCCTATTGCCCATAGTGCTCACCCCTCATTAACACATTTTTCATTACTTTTATTTGTTTTTTTGAGATAGGGTCTTTGTAGCCCTGGCTGGCCTTGAACTTACCATATTCCTACTTTAGCCTCCAGAGTGCTGGGATTACAGGTATGTGCCACCATGCCAGCATCCTTTAGTGTTTTGTATGTACATGTGTGGATGCACATGCATGTGGAGTCCAGAAGTTAATGCTGAGTGCCTTCCTCAATTGCTAGCGATCTTATTTTTTCATTTATTCACTTTTATGTGTATGAGTGTTTTGCCTACATGTATATAAATGCATCATGTGTGTGCAATGCTTTTGGAGGCCAGAAGAGTGGGTCAAATCTTTGGAACTGGAGTTATGAACGGCTGTTAGCTGCCAAGTGGGTGCTGGGAACTGAACCTGTGTCCTCTGCGAGAGAAGCTAGTGCTTCCAACTGCTAAGTTATTTCTCCAGCCCCCTACCTTACTTTGTTTTGGGTTTTTTTGTTTTTTTTTTTTTTTTGAGACAGGGTCTCACTATGTAGCTCTAGCTGACCTGGAACTTGCTATGTAGATCAGGCTAGCCTCAAACTCAGAGATCTGCCTGCTTCTGCCTCCCCAGCACTGGGATTAAAGGCATGTGCCACCACACCTGGCTCCACCATATTTTTTTGAGATAGGGTCTCAATGAACCTAGAGATGATCAGCAAGTCCCAGGGACCCTCCAGTGTCCACCTCCACAGTGCTGGGACTACAGGCATACTCACCGGCTTTTTGTATAGGGGCTGGGGATCTGAATTCAGGTCCAGTCTGCTTATATGGCAGGTGCTTTCCAGATAGCCATCTGCCCAGCTTCCTTTATGCCTGTTCTACCTTGTTTCATTTCTCTGCTTCCTTAGTATGCGTCTGGGGATCACCTTACAGACTGCTCCCACATCCTCATCTCATGGCAATCAGCAGGGGCTGTGGCAGGGACCATGAGAGAGCCCAAAGTTCGGTCTTCAGACTCCAGCCCAGTCCTCTTTCCTGCACACTAGGGGTTCAGACCTTGGCATCGACACCACTTTGGACTGGATAATCCATTGCTGTGTGTGCACAAGGGGGTTGGGGGTGTGACTGTAAATGTTGAGAGGTGGTTGAGCCTTTAAGAGACAGGCCTAGTGGGAGTAATTAGGTCATCAGGACATTGCCTTGGAAGGGATTAATGATGGTCCCCCAGAGTGAGTGAGTTCTGACAAGAGTGGGTTGTTAGAAAGCAAAGTGAGGGACTGGAGAGATGGCTCAGAAGTTAAGAATATTGGTTGTTCTTGCAGAACACCCGGGTTTGAATCCCAGCACCCACATGGCAGCTAACAACTGTCCTAACTCCAGTTCCAGGGGATCCGACAGCCTCTTCTGACCTCCTTGGGCATTGCAGGACATGGGTGCACTTACCTATATGCAGGCAATATACATGTACACATAAATACAAATAATAAAATTATTTTTAAGTTTAAAAAGTTAAAAAAAAAAGCAAAGTAGACTACTACACACACTGGCCCCTGCGGCCCATGGGTCTTCCCTTTCCATTTCTCCTTAATGTTGTGACACAGGATGTTGATGCCATGATCTTCCAATCACCAAACTCCTAAGCTATTCAAATAAACCTCTTTATTGTAGAAAGCATCTAGCCTCCAGCTTTCTATTATAGCAACATGAAGCAGACGAAGACACTGTGTACTGGAAGATGTTCAAAAGCATCCCTGACCTCTGTCCACTGGATGCAAGTAGCACACTCCATTGAAGAACAATCTGTCACATCAAATATCTGCTGGGGCAAAACTGTTCCTCCTTGCACTGTGGCCACTCTCTACACCAGCTGTCTCCCTTACCAGGGAAAGAATTCCAAATCCCAAGGTCCTTTCAACATTCCCTATTACTCTTCAGAATCCATGAATGAAAACTGGTGGAATTTATCTCCCACAATCCTTTCCAGAGATGAATGAAAAAACAAGTCTGAGATGAACTGAAACCAACCTTAGGGGCTCAGAAGCAATTCTGTATCTGTCGGACCAAGGAGCAGCCCAGCCTCCAGGGCCCTGTACCCAGTGGCTATAATGTTGAGATGTTAGTGGTTGGTGATGGCTTAGCATCTACTTCCTAATCCAGGATGCACAATGGTGGGATTTCTGACTCTGGAAAACAGACTTATAAAGTGTCGTCCTTATCCTCACCCCTTCTCATTTCTCTGTCCCTCAATTCTCCCAGGCTGGAAGGTTCCTGAATTGACCAAAAGAAGAAGCAGCATCAGTCATCAACCCAAACCATTCCTTTCTGTTGAATCAAGAAGGCACACAAACACAGGTGGGTGGTAGTCTATGTCCTAGGTGGGGAAGATAGAACAGACCCCGGGGAGGGCTGAGCTGTCCCTCTAAAGGAGTGGCATTTCAGGGTATGTACTGAATAACCAGTGCAGCATAAGCCTTGGTCAACCAGAATAGAGATGGGCTGGAACAGCTGCAGTGATCAGACAGGAGACCAGCCGATTATCAGTCCTGTCTGAGCCCAGAGCCATCCTCTGGAATCTGGTCTTGCTCATCCTAAGCCAGTCCTTGAGACCAGCTTTCCAGCAAGTGACCACTCCTGCAGGATGTTTGTCTGATTTGTGTGGCATCCACAGTACCTAGCACAGGTCTGGATACAAAGCTGAAATTCAGTAAAGGAAATACTACACTGATAAATGGTCCACAAGGCAGTGCCTAGAGGGGAATGATGGACGGTAGGTAGGTTCCACTCTTGTAGGAGGAAACAGTCCTGGTCTGGTAAGGGACTGAGGGTTGTCTATGCAGCTGAACTCAGCCCAGGAGTTCTCAGATCTAACTGCAGGGCTGCCTGGCTCTGAGCATCAGCTCCAACATGGAAGACCCAGTGTCCTTGGCAGGGGCATGGTCCATGTAAGGATGAAGGTCAGCTCCTCAGTTCTGTGGGTTCAAGCCCCAGCTCTGAGTGTTGGGGTTCAGGAGGGGCCATGAAGGGGTCAGCAAGGAGCTAATCTTGCAAAAGTTGTACAGAACTTGCTGGGAGAACCCCAGTCTTTGAACCATCTTCTTCAGTGAGACCAACCTGGGGAGAGAAAGGTGAAACTGATGTTTTCTAAGTGTTTTTTATGTTCCAGGTATGTAGCTCACTCATGACTGTCCCATCACAGTTCAGTTATTCCTATTCGACAGATGATACAAGGAAGACTTAAAGAAGTGAAGCCACTTGCCCATGGTCTCTCCACTCTAAAACCTGGGCTCTTGTTACTCTCATACACAGAGGCAGCAGCTCAATGCAAGTGATGGAGGCCTGGTCTTCAGAACATAGTAGACACAGGTCTTCAGCTGATGCTCAGCTCTGACAGACTGATGGCTCCCTATGCCCTCCTACCCCTGACATTCCCTCTTCTAGCCAATGCCACCCGTGAGGAATGCCCAAGGGGACCAGATACAGAAGAGACTATCTTCCCATAGCTTCCGATCTGTGCCTCCTCTCAGGCTAGAGACTGATTCAAGAGGGAGAAGCCAGACTAAGGATGACAACTTTTGTCAAGGTCTCCAGTAGCCCGGGCTGGCCTTGAACTTAATATATAGCTGAAGATGATCTTGAACACCTGATATTTATTCCTGCATCTACCTCCCACATGCTGGAATTATAGGCATATACAACCATACCTGGGTAATGTGGCATGGGAGATGGAACACTGGGCTTCGTGCGTGCTAGGCAAGCACTGTACTAACTAAGCTACATCCCCAGCTCTAAAGATATAACTCTTGCCCTGTCCCCATCACATCCCTTTGTGCCTGGGATCTGGAAGTCTCCATGGATTGATAGAGCCTCCTTTAGGAGGGGAGAGTGAGGTAGCTCAAGACCTTCCTAATGCTGCTTCTTTTGCAGGAAGGCTGTTCCTTTATTCAGTGACTGGCTGGGCAGACACAACTCTTCACATCCTCCCTGGGAAATGGCTAAAGCTCAGCCTCACTTAACTTCACGAGTCCTGGGCTAGAGCCAGGGACAGTATCAGGGCAGGGACAGGCCCAACAGTAGCCTCCTGGGCCCATAGGTGCTGTATCAAGAAGAGAGGTCTCCCACCCCTCTACCCCTGCTTTTGACCAACTCTACAACCCAGGCACCTGCCACCTCAAACCACTCTCCCAGAACTCCTACCGGAATGTTCCTTCTGGACAATGGCTGCCGGGCAGAAGGACTGTCTTCCAGACTCCGGCCTCCCCGCCGGTAGGAGCGAGTGCTCTCTGAGCTGAAAGGCAGGGATGACCAACATTACCCTGCTGCTCAGCACCCCTCAGAGTCGGGGGAAAGGACCACATGGACAGGCATGGCTGGGGGTTGATAATGGGGGGGGGCCAGAGTCTGCCAAGCCCCTACACTGGTTCCATCACAGGCCTGGGAGATCTGGAACTGACCCCCTTAGAGGGCTCTGAGGATGTTCCCAAATCTAATTCTTTCCCAAACTCTAGTCAAGACAGAAAGGGTTTACAAGGAAGAGAGGTAGCTGGATCCTGGGCTGGAACTGGGAACAGGTAAAGACCTCAGTGACAGCCCAAGAAAGAGCCACGCAGGTAGCCTTTTCTCCTCCCCTCAACTTCAGGAGCTATAGCCCTTGGCTCCTTCTTGCCTCTCCTGGTCAGACATGGGAGCAGGTGGATGGAGGAAGGTCACCCTCTACCCAGGTCCAGCGCCTCTGCCTATGGCATGGGGGTCCCAGAGTGGGACTGTGGCCCAGGCTCAAGACAGGAACTATTCAAAGGCAGGAGAAACCAATGGATGCTCAGGAGTCAGGAGACCTGCCCAGGTTGCACAGTCGGGCTCTTACCAACCTGAATCTGACAGGGTGATACACCTCAGCAGGAGTGGTCCCAGATGCCAGGCCAGGTCGGGAGGCACCTGGTGGCTCTCTAAGGCCTTCTTCGGGGCTGGGTGGGGATTGGTTTGGCCCCCCAGGTTCCACAGAGCTGGTGAGGCTGGAGGAGGAGGAAGCTGGGCTGCCCTTGTTCTCAGACGCCTCAAGGGACTCTGAACTCAGGCTGGGGACATCAGAGCGATCTGGAAACAGAAGTGACAAAGCCTGTTTTTAATTACTCCCCTGTGATAAAGTAGGAACAATTTCCTATTTGTCCAATGTCAAAGTTGAGCTTCGTCTGTAGGATGCATCCTGATTCTCTCCTAGCTCCTCAGCCCTGCTTTAATTAGGATACATGGTCACACCAACCAGCCATGATGGCTCACTTTGCTTCCATTCATCCCTTCTTCTAGCTCTGGGCTTTCCTGCCCATCACTAAGGCTCAGATCAGGAGCTACCTCATCCAGGAAGCTCTCCTAACTCATCCTCAGCTCCAACAGGATCTGTCCCTCTCTCTGCCCATCCCCTGGCCTTCTAGAACAAGCTCTGTTCATCCAACATACATTCAGTCCTAAAGCACAGCCAGGCTCTGTGCAATGCTGGAGAGAGTTATCTGTGCATGGTTGAACCCTGTCCTGCTGGATTAGTATACTTTAGCTTATGATCAACTGCTTTTGGTCTACTTCCTTACTACACTGTGTAATAGTAGCCCCCAGGGGCTTAGGACACAGGGCATGCCCCACCCCATAAACTCTTGTCTTCTTGTTTAATAAGCACAAAGGAATCTGAGTGAGAGAGACCTGGGTTGGATCCCATATCAGAAGCTTTTAAACTGTGGCACTAAACATGTCACTTAACATCTCTGCAGGAGGAAAGGGTGGTAACCTCCCTGTGAGGGGACTGCGAGGCCAGGATGGACTTGCCATCCTCTTATATTTTCTGAGAGGGTTTCATGTAGCCTAGGCTGGCCTCAAACTCAGTATGTAGCCAAGGATGGCCTTGAACTCCTGATTCTCCTGCCTTTACCTCCCAAGAGCTAGGCTTACAGGTATGCACCACCACACCTAGCTTTACCACTCTCCGCTCGGTACCCTGAATATTTAGCTTTCAATAAATGGCACAGGGAAGATTTTTCTGGGCAACTAACTATACCTCCACTGGAACGTCCCACTCGCCCTGAGGATACGGTCCGTGAAGAGTTTTTGGCAGGCAGGGGTGGGGGGCAGTCCTCACTTTGGCTCTGTGAGGTGGCTGGTCCCAGCCTGGCAATGGTCTCATAGGTCTTGTTGCTGATGTCCAGCTTCCCACTGGCCCAGTGGGCCTGGGCTGGGAGCTTCAGAGGGCAGTGCTGCAGAGGTAAGGACATCCTGGTTTCCCCAGATCAGCCTGCCCCTCCCCACAGCAGACCCACTCTAGCTCTTGCCTGGTGTTGTCCAGAGGGGCAGGGGCTGGGCCTACCTTTTCCTCCTCGTCGTCCTCGCTGTCAAAGCCATGCTCTGTGAAAAGTCCCCAGGGGTAGTCCATGTGGAGAGGGAAGGTGAGGGTCCCTGCCTGTGCCTGTGCCAGCTGCCCAAAACAAAGGCTCCCCATGTCAGAGGCCCAGCAGAGTAGAGAAGGGTCAGAGGGCAGCCTCCACCCTCAGACTCACCAGCTCCTCACACTCCTTATGCTGTTTCTTCCTCGCTATGTCCAGAGCTGTCTCTCCAGCCTCGTTCACTGTGAGGGGTCAGTCCAGGGGTCATGGTTGGTATCCAGGAGGCAGTGCAATTTAGAAATTAAGATGGGCCTCTGAATCAGATTGGGTATGAATCCTGGCTCTATGACTTCCTGTGTGAGCTTAGGGAACCTACTTAATCTCTCTGGGCCTTAACTGTCTTATCTACAAAATGAATATGATATTAGATGCTATCTGGCCTGGTTTTCCTAAGAATTCAACTGATTAACAGTGTAGATGAATTGTCATAGGGACCAGGCATGTGCTATTCAATAAGCAGCATGGGAATTAAATCACCTGAACCCAGATTCAGCTAGGAGTTACTCTGCTCCATCCACATCTTCAGAAGTGTTAGTTCATTCTATCCTTTTAACAGGCCCACTAGATCTGTGGCATTTGCATTTTACAAATAAGGAAGCTGAGGTTTAAGAAATGAATGATACAGCCACAGAGGAGGTCCGAAGCAAGCCAGGAGGAAGGCCCAGAGTGCCTACAAGCCAGGGCTTGCTGTCAGCGCTCTGGTGTGAGAAGGCAGGAGGCCCCACAAGGAGTCTGGAGAGGTATCAGGCCTCAAAGAGGAATCAGGCCGCACCTGTCCCCACCGGAGCTCTCCCTTTCAGTAGCAGCTTGAGACAGTCCAGTTGGCCATGGAGTGCAGCACAGTGCAGGGCAGTGTTCCCATCTGCAGCCTTGGCATCCAGGTGGCCACTAAGAGGATGCAGATTCAGGGAGGTTGAGGAAGAGGAACAGACAGGCAAGTGGGGTGAGGGTCAAGGTTCCAGGGAAAGAGGGAGAGGGAGGAGGAGGGAGTGGGGACACAGGGAGGTCTCTGATGGCAGATGGGCTCTCACCCGTTGTGGATGAGGAAGTCCACCAGGGGCAGGGAGGCCTGGCTGGCAACTCTGATGGCCAAGTGCAGGGCAAGCTCTCCAGATGCCTGAAGACACATACAGACCTGAACTTCCCTTGTCGTCTTCCCCCAACCCAATGTTTCCCTCATGAACACCTATTGCTCCAGCACCTCTAAATATGAAGTGGTCAGAAAGAAACCCCGAGGCTGAATGGAGAGACCCTCAGTTAGGGAAGAGTGGGAAGGCCCAACCAGTCTTTCATGGCTTCCTTCAATGGTTCCTTCTTGGCCTCAGTAGGAGTTTCCAAATCTGGGTCTGGCAGGGGCTCCCTTTCTTCCCTACCTCCCCACAGAGACCTCTGTGGCTTCCTGCATTCTGTGCTCAGGCACAGGCTGGCTCAGCTTCCCATCTTACCCGAGTGCTATGCCCTCACTGCCCACTGGGTGGCCTGCCAAGATCTCAGGCACACAGCTCAGAGACATCCAACCCCACCTCCTCCAGGGCCTCACAAGCTAAGCCGGTTGTGCTCTACCACTGAGCTACACCTTGAGCCTGTGACATCCTGTTTTAAGTTTCTAATCAGTCAGTAACTCCTCCTGCTTGGACCTTTCCAATGTCTCTGAAATCTTCTCTTGAACATGTATTTATCACTGAAATGCAGTGGCCTTCACTGCTCTAATCAGACCTGCCCTTCCCCACTTCCAAAACTATTGTTAACCCATTTTACAGATGAGAACTTGGGACTTGGAGAAGATGAGTAACTGCCCTGGATCATACAGCTAGAAAAAGACACAGCCAGGTCAGCTTGGCTGAAGTTGCTCTTTCTCATTTGGTGGGTGAGATGTGAGCAGCTGGTAGAGATGGGCATGGGCTGTGGGAGTAGGAAGTGCTGACAGCTGGTCCTAGAGGAAGTCTGAGAAGTATGTGAGTGCAGGCTGGTTATAAGCAAGTCCTGAGAGAGGGCTCTCACCTGCCCATCAGGCCCTGGCAGCAGCTGTCCAAAGTCCTGTCCATTGGCAAAGGCTTCCAGTACTGCAAGGAGGTCCCTGCTGCAGATGGCTGCCCACAATCTCTGGGGCTCAGGCTTGGACCGGCGGACAAACCTGTGTTCCACATACTTGGCCACGATATAGTCCCTGCGGGCACTCCTACCAAGACAACCATTGGTCCTCTGCAATGTTTCCACCTACTACCTTCTGGAACCATCCTCCAGGGGATTCTGGAGTCCTGGGAACGTCCAGGTCAGCCCCACCTTCACCTCCCAGCCTTTCTACCACAATCCCTCTGAGATCCTGGGAGCTGGGGAGGCAGCAAACCCCTCCTTCTGAGACCGTCCTTACATGTCACTCTCAGGGGAGGGTTTGGGGCCGCCGTGGGTGGGCAGCTGGGCTTCCATGACTTCATTGAAGCGCGAGTTTCCGATGTTCAAGGCCAGCTGGAAGCACAGCAAAGTGTGTGGCAGGTCAGGGGGTAAAATCAGATGTTAGGATAGTGCTCCTGGCAAAGCTGAATCCCTTGCCCCTGCTACCCCTAGGTCTTCTGGAGCCCTAAGGTCGCCCAAGCCCCGCCCCAGAAGAAGCCACACCCTAACCCCCCTCTGGTCCCGCCCCTCTTCTCACCAGCAACTCGGAGGGGCACAGGAGGTCCAAGGTGAGGGAATGTATACGCGAAAAGCGCACGCCCAGCTCGCGGTGGACTCCGGAGCACTGGATGCAGGTGAGCACACCCAGGTTGGTGCTGAGCCACGTGGGGTCTGCAGAGGGGCGCAGCTGGAGCCTGTGCAAGCGGAGCCCCCTCTCCACGCCTCCCGCCTCCCGCCGGGCCTCTCCCACCGCCGACCTGCGGCCCCACAGTCGCAGCACTGGCCATTCCCGGGCCTGCTCTTCACCTCTGCGATGAGCAGCTTCGTGAGGTCCTGGGGCTCCGCGTTCAGCCCGGCGCCACCCCAGGACCCCAGACCGCCGCTGGGCTCCCCATGGAAGGCGCTGCTCAAGGCTTCGTCCTTGCTATTCTGCAGCACTGACACCCACCTGCGCAGATGGACCGGGCATGGATGGAGACGGGAGGCTGGGTGTGGACAGGGTTCCCCTTGCCCTACATACCGTTGGCCCATAGGGGGCACTCACGCCTCACACTCGTGCTCATCCTCTGCGTGGAAGTGGTATGTCCGGTTGTCTGTCAGAAGAGAGGAGGGCATCAGGGCCTGTGTCCACCTGGCGCTTTTGTCCACCTACAATCAAGTCCTCCCAAGCCAGTGACAGGAAGCAAGGGCACTTTCTTTATAAGTCACCTCATAAGTAGGATCTCAGTAAGGCTGTGAAGTCCTGGATCCAGGGTTAGGGCACAGCACACCCCCACACACACGACCCAGGCAGGGCATGACCCCTAGCTACTGCCACCACTCCATAAGCTCCTCAGCTGCCAATCTGGTCTCCTTGCTTCCCACCTCTCCCAGTTCACCCAGCCCCTATCAGCTCCCAGGCTGTTGTGTCTAAGGCTATAACCATACTGTATGCGTGCCTGCTCTCAGACCCCCATGGCTCCTTACTATCAGGGAATAAAGTACAAACCCTTAAGAGGCAGTCCCAGGCCAGGCCTTGCCTCTCACTACTCTTGTGTGAACCCTCCACTCTGGGGCAGAACTGGTGCGGAATGGGGCATGCCCTCTTCTGATCCTACCTCCTAAAACCTCCCTTCTCCTAAACTCCACATTCTCGATGTCCTTCGCCACTAAACTCAAATGCTCTCCTCCAAATAGCCCTTCCTCCATTCCCTACACAGGCCAGGTCTTCCCCAAGGCTCTGTGTGCACCTGTCTCCTCTGAACACCCCTTCTCAGACTCAGTCTTCATAGCCTGTACTCCCCTCCCTAAAAGTCTAGCACCAGATAAGCCAAAACCACTCAAATATTCTCCACATCATAATTAAATATGAGAAGTAAATGTGTTTTCATGTTCAGTGGGATGGGAGGTGAAGCCCATAAAGTATGCAGGGCCCTTGGAGTCCTAGGCCTGCAGTGGCAGCCTTTGGCTACCTGACTGGACTGACTGAACAGAAAGGCCTGGCCACAGCCTCCCTGAAGGAGCAGTGGGCAGTGTGGGACTGGGCAGGAACCACTCACGGGTCACCAGGTCGAAGCACTTTTTGTCCTCAGGGTTTGGCCTCACTTGGCACGTCAGCAGGGTCAGCTTCACTGGGGGCCGGTTGATCTGTGGGAATTTGAGGGTGGAGGACACACAAGTCACCCTCTGGGCCTCTGAGTCCTCTATTACCTAGTCTGTTAAATAGGCATGAAAATCTCACTCTTGGGAAGTAGAGGGAGGAGTGTAGATCAAAGCTAAGTTGGGCCTTTGGATCCCATCCTTTTTCCTAAGAGGGGTCCCTAGCACCCTAGATGCAGGTGTAGGGGTGTAGGGGCCTGTCTTGGAGGGAGGGCTTGACATCTGTCTTCTCAGAACCCCTGGAGAGGCCTTACCATGCTGTGGGAGATGGTCAGGCAGCCGTATTTGACTCCACATTTCCTCTTCTGCCAGACTCTTCGAAGCCTAAGGCCCAGAGGGACAGAAACACAGTGACCTGTAGTTCACACCTAATTCCTCTGCATTAGAGAACAGAATCAAGGCCTGACCTGCATGACCTCTTCCCTCCCCAGGCACCTGTGCCCCTCACTTCCTAGGCCCCATTCTCATGCAAGCCCTCAAGCAGCAACTAGTGTGATTGGGAAACAGCCCCACGCTCTAGAATCCCTATTCTAAAGTGGGCAGTATGGTTTTGGTCCCCTGAGAGCATCTAGCCAGATGGAGGAGATGCAACTCACAACCTTAGGAAGCTCCAAGTCTGAGAGGAGGACCATGGTTCAACTAGGCAATGATCTGTTTTGAGGAGGACCTCAAAAACAAAATGAACAAATTCATAATCCAAAGCTAGCTACCATGACTCCTGTGAATGTTAAAGGTTCACTGTTTCTTCCTTCAGTTAACCTCTGATACAAGCTGACTAGTAAGTAGAAACATGAACATATCCTCTAAGAGTCTTTACATTTCTCTCTCTCTCTCTCTCTCTCTCTCTCTCTCTCTCTCTCAGTGTTTTTGAGACAGAGTTCTCCCTGTAGTGGGGGCTGGCCTGGAACTCACTATGTAGACTAGGCTGGCCTTGAACTCACAGAGAATTGCCTGCCTCTGCCTCCGGAGTGCTGGGACCATAAGCGTGTGCCACCACGCCTAGCTCATTTCTTAGACTTAAAAAAAAAAAAAATTATTTCATCCCCAGGAGCAGGCCATAGTCAATACTTTTATTTCTAAGCCTATTTATTAAGTTCTTGGTAAGTCTTTAATTGCTGCTAGGCCTCAAACTCATGGCAATCCTCCAGCCTCAGCCTAGGATTACAGGTTTATACCACCATGTCCAGCTTGCTGTAATTTTCTGTCTGTTTGTTAGCCCCAACTCTTTATGTAGCCCCAACTGGCTTGGAACCTGCTATGTAGACCAGGCTAACCTTGAACTTACAGAGATCTGCCTGCCTCTGCCTCCCAAGTGCTGGGATTAAGGGTGTGTGCCACCACACCAGGCCTTGCTGCTGCTCTTGAAGTACAACCAGTGACATTTAGCAGAGGGGCACATGCCCAGTTGTCCTTTCATAATTTTGCACCATCAGAGTGCGTGAAAGGGTTACAATGCTGATAAGATCAGTCCCTTTGGGCCGCTTCTGCAACCCTCCTTTCCTAGCTGTGTGTCTTGGGGCAAGTTGTATAAACCCTCTGAGTCACTCACCCATCACTTTTCTTGTACAGGAAGCCCACCTTCTCTGTCCCAAACTGCTTGTTGCCTTGGTGCTGGTGGATGCTGTAGCCGCCCCCTGAGTTCTTTCTGTTCGAGTGCTCCTGCCCCTCGGACATGCAAAGGAGACCTCAGGGTGTCTGGGAGGGAAAAGCCCCGTGCTGCACTGCTCCTCGGGGACATCTGGGGGCTTCCCGCCCTCCTCCCTCCACATCCACGGGGTGGGGGCGGGGGGCAGGGAGCAGGGGATGGACATCTCTTTTGAAATGACTCAGGGCCTGACCTCTCTGTTTTCAAGCTGCAGCATCCCTCGGAGGGAGTCCCGGAGCTGGGTCAGCTTCTGCAGTTCCTCCTCCTGTGCTTGCCGAAGCTATGGGGCAAAGGACAGAATGCCATGGCCAGTGAGCCTATGTACCAGGGCAGAGCCAGACCCAGTGCACTGGAACAGTGCCTCAGTCTATGGAAGGAACCAGCTATCCGTACAGTTTCCTGAAGGACAGGGGGTTTGACCTCAGGACCAAGGGACAAGCCCAACTTACCCCATGGACTGAGGCTGCCAACTTGTCAATGAAGGGGGAAAGGCTCTGGGCTGCCTTCCAGCCATCTTGGAAGAAGCTAAAAGAGGTCACAGGCCAAACAAGGGTCAAGAGAAGGATGGAAGTGTGGATGAAGACAGAAGTTGGAATAGATGGACTTATTAATGGGCATCCAGTGGATACAGTCCGAGCATGAAGAACAGGCATACAGAGGCAAGACCCTCTGGGTTCACTCTGACTAGCTGTGAGAGCTAGGTGGGCCTAGTGTAGGGTAAGTGGGCCTCAGTTTTTCCATCCATAAAATAGGAATAAACACTACACCTGCTCCCAGGACTGTTGAGGGACAGTAGGATCACCCATGCCCAGTCTTTAGTGCCTAACCTATGCTGAGAACTCCATGAAGTAGCACTCCATATGGGAAGTGTTGTCCATGAGGTCTAGACATCAAGTCTCAAACTCTGGAGGGGTACTTTGTCCTGTTCCCCAAAGCATTAGGGGTGGGGATGGGGAGACACCTACTTGTGCTGGGCATGGAAGAGCTTGATGAGGCTCTGAAGGAAGTCGGGACCTTGCTTCACCTGACTCTCCCCAGCTTTGACAAGGTACTGGAGGAAGACAGGACAACATTGTGATGTGAGCTCGTTAGGTCCTGGGAATGAGGGCTGCGGCCCCCAGCCCGGGCTAATCTTCATGGCCATGACTGCATGTTGGTGATGTCCCATAGGCCAGCCAGCCAGCCCAAGGGCCTATGACTGGACCCCTGGGGTTCAGTACAGGCAAACAGGAAGATATACTCACCTCAACCTCATCAGAGTCCCCCCTTACCTCACACATGTGCAGCTGAAAGATACGTCGCTCTCTCTGTGTGTCCTGGGCCATTTCTGCAAGGCTGCCTCCTGTCATCCTGGCCCGATCCCTCTCCTTCTCCAACTTGGCCCTACACCATAAGGAAGGGGGCACTTGAACAAGCCTTGTCACTGTTCTTTCTGCCCACCATCCCTGCCATGGATCCTTTTGTGCCACCTGAGGCCTAGGACTGGAAACAAGGGACCAGGCAGATTTGGGGAGTCCAGAGGATCATGGAGAAGATACAAATCAAATCAAAGACAGAAGAGTAAAATGGGGGACCTGGCTTTATCAAGGCAGCTTAGGAAGTGATGTCTGTACTGAGACCAGAAGCCTGAGGCAGTAGCTTGGAGGAAGTGAGTGCTAGGGGAGCTGTGAAGAAATGGAGACAGACAAGGCTCTGCCTGAGGCAGTGGCAAAGGAGAGGCCACACCCCCAAGGCTGTTGAGGGTCTAGGTCCTTTGCCCAAGAGCAAGAGGAAGGGCTTGAAGGTTTTATATCAGAGGTGATATAAGGTCCAAGTAGAACCTGGATTGACTAATACTGATTAGCTGGACAGGACTTAAGAGTATGTCAAAGAGATGCTCACATGTGCCTTTATCCTCATGACCCCACAGAATTTCCCATTCAAACTTAGAAAACCTGTGACTCCCAAGGTGGAGGTACAGTTTCAGGGCTGACAGCTAGTCTAGCATGCACAAATCTGTGATTTAATCTCAGTGCCCTCCCCAACAAAAGAATGAAGTAAGCAGGACCTTTCCCCTACAAGATCTCGAGGGTTGACTGGTTTTCCTCTTTGGGAATGGTGGATCCATGTGTAGGTCATTTCCTGGAAGTCCCACACCCATCAGCCCACCCATAGCAGCCAGGAGTGTATTTCTACATCTCAGTCTGGGTGCCTGTAACCACGAACCCCATGTACAGGAGACAGGGTCTCATGTAGCCAAGCTGGCCTCAAACTATGTATCAGAGGATGATCTTGACTTTCTGATCTTCCAGCCTCTACCTCCAAGGGCTCAGATTATAGATTTGCACCACCACACTGGGTTTTATGCAGTACTGAGGATGGAACCCAAGGCTTTATGCATGCTGCGTAAGCACTTTACCAACTGAGCTATATCCCCAGCCTGATTATTATTTTGAAGCACAAATTTTGTATAAGGGCTCTGCTAGCCCCAACCCCCTTGGGCTCTGCTAGCCCTAACCCCCCTATACACACTAAAGTAATAAATCCCACGAGGCAGGAATCGTTACCCCATTGCACAGATGAGAAGCCTAAAGCTGAGATGGTAAGTTTGTCGAAGTCACATAGCTGTTAAGTGGCAAAGGCAGGATTTGAACCCAGGTCTGTCTGATGCTTAGAGCCTAGGGGCAGCACTGGTGGCTCAGATCTGCTCCATCCATTTTTTTTCCTGCCTCATTCTCACATCTGGAGACAGTCTTTGGTGAGAATTTGCAGTCAGGAACCATATTGGAGGTGATAAAGCTAAGGCCCAGAAAAAGAAAGTAATTTGCTCAGGATCATGTGCTGTTCAGAAATGCTGGGGCACACGTCTAGCTACTGTCTCACAGGCCTGTTCTGTGTTATTCCATCTTAGTTCTGGTGCAGAGGGAGACGGCCCATGAATACTCACTGAGTACTTTTAATGCACTGTAAAACTGGGCCGTTTTACAGATGAGGAAACAGATCTGTATATGTGTATAATCTGTTATTTGCCAGCATAGGTAAACATGCCCCTGTGCCAGCAGCCCCCTATGGAGAGGGGACCCTCTTCCCATTTCAGGGGCCAGGGCTGAGGCTCTAAAGGTATTCAGGTGCTGTTGGTAGCCTGGGCCACTACTGCTGTTGCCCAGACTGGCTTGTAAAAGTGTGGTGGTATCACGCAGTACCTGGCAACCTGGAGCTTCCATGGAGAGGCATGCACCGAGTCACCTGTGCCAGAACATATGGCTCAAACTCTAGCCTTGGGTCCTAATCAGCCATGTCAATCATAGGAATCACCCTAGCCAAGCCCTTGTCTTGTCAACTGAATAGTTTTTTCTTCAAATGAAATCTTATAAGACTGGAGAGATGGCTCAGCAGTTAAGAGCGCTGACTGTTCTTGCAGAGGACCTGGGTTTGATTCCCAGCACCCACATGGCAGCTATGAACCATCCTTAACTCCGGTTCCAGGGAAATCCAATGCCATCTTCTGACGTGGCATTACATGATACAGTGTACTCACATACATGCAGGCAATATAGTCATACACATAAAATGAAATCTTACAAGAAAGTTTACAACAGAAAGCTAGTAAAAGCACCATTGCTTCAGAAAGCCTGTAGGATAGAGGTTAATTCAGTCCATTTGGTAAACAAGATCCCAAAGGCTAAGCAAAGAAGAGGGCCAGGTGGTCCTTCAGCAAATCATACAGTAAAGCTAGGCTTCGTCACCATCACCTGTTCCTCAACCCCTAAAAAGAGCAGATGGCCAGACCCCATCCTAGGCAGAATGAGGCCCCACAGGGATAGCCCCTGGTGCCAGGCTCACAGCTGGAGATTCAGTAAGGGGAGGAAGTGTGGCTTTCTTTCAGATTTGAGCAGGTGCTCATGGCTCTGGGAGCCGGAACGGTGAAAGCTCCAGGATCTGGTTTTTGGAATTGATCCCATAGAGGTTATTATGCAGAGGAGCAAACATTTAGTTCCCAAAATGCTTCCTCGTGACAGGGCAGAGTAAACAGGCTACCAAGTACACATGTGTTGGCACACCCTGCCCCCACTTACCTGATATCTGAGAATATGCAACGGTGCAGAAAGATGGTCATTGTTTCACTTTTTTTTTTTTTTTGGCCAGGGTTTCATGCATCTCAGACTGGCCTCAAATTTGTAATGTAGCTGTGGATGACCTTTCTGCCTCCTCCCTGGGATTACAGGTATGTGTCACCACCACACCTTGACTTTGCTATGCTGGGATTGGACCCAGGGCTTTGTGCATGCCAGGCAAGCACTCTGCCCTATTCAACTTTCTTTGTTTACATTTTTGTTTTTGAGGCAAGGTCTCTCTATGAACCAGTCTAGCTTCAAACTGGAAATCCTTCTGCCTCAACCTCTTTAAGTATTGGGATCACAGACACGCACAACCACACCCAGCTTCACCATGTATTTTTGAATGAAAATGACATATAACAAATTGCTTTCTATGTGTGTACATTAGTATCATTACTTTGATCTCAGTTGTGTCAAAATATTTCATGACACATTGAAAACAAATGGAAAAATGCTACTGTCTTTGTCTTGGAAATGAAAGATTTTTCTATGTGTTTTGGTGGTTTCTCTCCCACTTCATTGTGGGAAGAGAAGTTATATTTTGGTTTTCTGGGAAAGGGTCCTCATAGCTCAAACTAACTTCAAACTAGCTATGCAGCTGAGGCTGGGCTTGAATTCTTGATTCTCCTGCTTCCACTTCTCCTGTACTGTGGTGATTATAGGCATGCATCGTCTCCCCTGACTCCACCTTGTTTTTGTTTTAATTTTTGCTACATTTTATGTGTATGTGTTTTGCCTGCATGTATGTAAGCACATCACATATGTGCAACGTCCTTGGAGGCCAAAAGGGGGTGTTGGATCCCCTGGAACTGGAGCTATGGATGGTTGTTAGCTGCCATGTGGGTTTTGGGAACTGAACTTGGGTTCTCCATATATATATATATGCTTAATATTTTTTAATGTGGCTTCTGGGGATTGAGGTAAAGAGGTAAACACTTTACCAAATGAGCCATCTCCTCTCCCCAGCTCCTCCACTTTTTTTTTTTTTTTAAAGACAAGGTCTCCCTGTCACCCCAGCTAGCCTGGAGCTCGCTATGTAGACAAGGCTGGCCTCAATCTCACAGAGATCTACCTGCCTTTGCCTCCCATATGCTGGGGTTAAAGTTAAAGGTGTATGCTGCTGAACCTAGTTTTCTACCTTGTTTTTTTAAAAAATATTTATTATTTTTATTTTATGTATATGAATGTGCTGCCTACATGTAGGTAAGTGCACCCATGTCATGCAATGCCCGAGGAGGAAAGAAGAGGCCATCGGATCCCCTGGAACTGGAGTTACAGATAGTTGTTAGCTGTCATGTGGGTGGTGGGATTCAAACCCAGGTCTTCTGCAAGAACAACCAGTGTTCTTAACCGCTGAGCCGTCTCTCCAGCCCCTAACTTGTTTTTTAAATTACGAAATCACAGTGCTGCCCATCCTTGTAAAAAATAAAGTTCCTGACAGAGAACTTTTAAATATTCCCCACAAAGTAACCCTAATGCTCTCCTAAAGATTTTCTTCTTTTGTGTGTGATGGGGGAGCAGGGAGGAGTTGGGACAGGGTCTCACTATGCCGTCCAGCCTGGCCTCAAATTCCTGAGTTCAAGCAATCCTCCTGCCTCCTGCCAGAGCAGCTGGGATTACAGGTGCATAACACCACACTGAGCAATGTTTTTTCTTTCTTTACAACTTTATGTCTTATAGATTATACATAAGAAAAATGATCTTCTTTGGCATAACATAAGTAAAAACAAAATGTTACAAAGAAGAATGCTCAACCCTCTGAACCCGAGGAGTCTGCTTAGGGAGACCTGATCACTGGGTGCCTGGGGCCCCTCTGTCCGCAGGATTTCCCAATAGCTAGTGGGATCTGCAGTATGGTATGGTGCACGTAAGAAGTCTGGGTAGGCCACTGCATCCTTTTCCTCTTCTATTTCCAACCTGGTGTTTATAGCTACTGCCCAGCTGTATGGCTTTGAGCAAGTGACTCAACCCCTCTGAGCCTCCAATGCCTCCTCTGCTAACTGGGACACTAATACCTCTTCCCAGTAATGATTTTGAGGATTCAATGGCTTCTTTTCCACCCCTGGCTACACAGGCACCCTGAGGCAGGAGTGTCACTGACAGCAGCATCCCAAGGTTCCTTCAAAACAGGTACCCTTGGGTAGTCTTGTAGCTCAGCCCCCAGAACCATATAAACCATCCCTGTAAGTGGCTCCCAAGAGCATGTGGCCCTGAAAGACGTGTTCTGGCCACACTTAGGATCATCCTGAAGTCAGCCCCCTGAAGCAACACAAACTATCTTGAGTGAGACCCCGCCAAGGTCACTCACACTTTGGCTTCGTAGTCCTTCCACGCTTTCTCCAGGTGCTTTTTGGAATCCTGGGGTTGAAAAAGGTACAAGTTATCCTAAGGGAAGCATGAGCTCTGGACCTTCGGGGGACCGCTCCTGAGCACTCCTATGCTGCTCAGAACTACTCTCCAGCTGACATCCCCTTAACACACCCAACTACCTCCCTCTCTGGGCCATAGCCCACCCCAGTTTCTCCCTAGAATTGCCAAGAACCAGTCAGGTATGATGGGCCTGGCCTGGGGTGTGGCAGGCCATGGGGAACTGCCCTGAGTCTTGTCACTCAGAAGCTGGAGATGGGCCATGAGGAAGAAGGCAGGAAGATGAAGGTCAAACCCCTCCCCTAATTTTATCCCACCAGTCTCTCTGTCCTGATATGAGTAGTCTTTTACCAGGAAGAATATGATTGCATAGAGACCTTAAGATATCTCTATAAGGCTACGATACCCAACTGACCCCTCCCTGGCTTGCTTGGGCTGGACATCTGGGCCTCATCCAGCCCGGCTGTTCACACCCTTCTAGACAGCCTCAACTTCTACAGAGAAAAAAGTCACCTATCTGGTTTGGGTGGTTCCCAGGCTGGTATAGCCCAGGGAGGGCAGGAAGGAAGCACTCAGGGAGGATAGCTCAGCCCCCATGCTTTATGGGACAGACTGCCCAGAGGGGTGACTCTGTCACCCTTCTTCAGCACCTCTCTGCATGGACCCAGGACTGCCGTGTCCAGAGGAGCATTTGCAGCAGGGTACTCAGGATCCCTGGGTCCCCACCCCAACCCTCCATGTACTAGCTACAGGAACCATGTGTGGCTCACCTATCCCTGAGCCTGCCAGTGGAGGTGAGGAGTCAGAGCTACAGGCCAAATTCCACACATGCTGTGGATGCTAGGCCATCGAGTCAGCCCAAGGGCAGTATAGGGGCAGTATTCTTGTGACAGCCCCTGGGTAGCCTTTCCCTTGGCCTAGCCCTATATTGGCTATAGTCTTGGCTGCCCTCTCTCTCCCTTCATCAACCATGCCTCCTGCATAGAAACTCACATGCCGTCCATCCCTCAGGTGCCCCTTCATCAGATTGTCCAGCGGGAAGGAGACAATGTTGTTCAGATTCTGAACCTGCAGGAAGCAGAGACCCCATCCTGGCTTGGGTGAACACCTGCCCAGCCCCAAAGAGCTCAGGAATCAGTGAAATACCAGGGGGCAAAGGAAAGCCACAGAAGTGCAGGAGGCAGGGAGAGAAAGAGATGGAGGGGCAGAAAGGACCTAGGGGTATTGGAGTTGGTACCCTCCTCAGACTGTTCCACCCCTGCATGGGACTCTTTCCTGCCCTGCTGCAAGACACCACCACCCCCGTCCCCCCCAGCTCCTGGGTAAAGAGAGAGGTTAGAGAAAGTATGGGCTAGAAATCAGAGAGACAAAGCTGGGGATGGTAGCTCTCCCCCAGCACTCAGGAGGCTGAGGCAGGTGGAACTCTGTGAGTTGGATGCCAGCCTGGTCTACATAGTAAGTTCCAACCATGACAACATGAGACCCTGTCTCAAAAAATTAAAAAAGATGCTGGATTTGCCCCCTTGACCTGAGGTCTGGGGAGGAAGAAAGAGCAGGAGTCTCACCAGGTTCTTGAAGAGTGCAGCCACTTCACGCGTGAACACAGCCAAGTTCAGGAAGCCTGTGGATAGTTCATGGCTGTTTTGGGACAAGTGACTATTGCCTAAGGCTTCCACTGCCTCCCGGTAGTGCTCCTCATTCTCCACATGGCCTGTGGGCGGGAGGGAAGGGTTCTCAGAGGTGGCTGCAAACCTGGCTGAGCCCCAGGCTCCAAGCAGATTCACTCACCAAGGCCAGAGCTGTGGATGGCCCGAACAGCCTTCTTGATCCTTTGTAGGATGGCCTGGTCTCCTTCTAGAACCTGAAGGCAAAATGCACAAGGTTTGATGGGGCTGAGCTGGAGGACCCCCAACCCCAGGATCTTACCCACCCTCTAAACACACACACAAACACACACACACACACACACACACACACACACCAGTCTTGACCTCCAAACTCTTCCCTGGGCTCCCCTACCAAACATAAGCAGATCACTTTTTAGTGCTAGACCACACAGGAGCCAGAATAGTCAAACTACTCTGTGAAAACTTCTAACCTAATGCTGGCCAACTGGCCACATAAACCTAGCGATTCAAAGGTGGGCCAGGCCTGGGTTGGAACTTTGGCTCAACCCAAAGATTTTTTTTTGTTCTTTTTGAGACAGGGTCTCCCTGTAGCCCCAGCTGTCCTGGAACTCACTATGTAGACCAGGCTGGCCTCAAACTCACAGAGATCTCCTGCCTCTGCCTCCTGAGTGCTGGGATTAAAGGCATGTGCCACCACGCCCGGCTCAAAGCTTCTTAAACTATGGGGCACACAACTGAATGTGAGGATTCCAAAAATATGACAACAGTAAAAGGTTTCTGAATATAACAATGATCAAAAATTAGGGGCTGGAGAGATGGCTCATCAGTTAAGAGCACTGGCAGTTCTTATAGAAGACCTGGGGTTGAGTCCCAGCACCCATATGGCAGCCAACAACTGTAACTCTGGTTCCAGGGGACGTGGCATGAGCACTTGGCACTGCAAATACCATCACCATGCAGTACAACAAATGCTGCCTGAAACACCTGGGCTAAGATTCTAGACTGTTACATGCTACGAATTGTAAGGTTTTTACTGTATATACAAAGTTTTGTGTTCTTATAGAAACATAATGGTTTGATTAGAGAAAACAAAACTTTAAATATTTTCCTGCTGTTCCTCAGCAGGTATCCAGTCAATATAGCTTTGGATTATATTGTGTTACATAAACAAGTATATCCACCTCATTAGTATGCAAATTTCCCTTCATCTTTAATAAATGATTAAATTATATGTGTACCAAAGAATCATTTTAAAATAAGTTTCTTGGGGCTAGAGAAATGGCTCAATGGTTAAGAGCACTGGCTGCTCTTGCAGAGGACCCAGGTTCAAATTCCAGTATCACATGGTGGCTAACAACTGTCCATAACTACAGTTCCAGGGGATCTCACGCCCTCTTCTGACCTCCAAGGGCAATGCACACATGTGGTGCACTTATATATGCAGGTAATACACTCATACACATAAAATAAAAATAAAGAAAAAAAGTAAACATTTTTTAATTAAAAAAATGTTCACTTTGCCAGTGTGGTGGCATACACCTTTAGTCCCAGTACTTGGGAGGCAGATCTCTGTGCGTCTGAGGCCAGCCTGGTCTACATAGTGAATTCTAGGCCAGTTGAGGCTACAGGGAGACCCTGTCTCAAAAAGACCCAAAATAAAAAACGTTCAATTTGTATACCTATTTTATATACCTATATACCTAGGGTTCCACAAAAATTTCTCAAGCAGAGGGGGGCTGGAGAAATGACTCAGCAATTAAGAACACTTCCTGCTCTTGTAGAAGACCTGAGTTCAGTTTCTAGCACCCATGTTGGGTGGCTCACAACCTCCTGTAACTCCAGCTCCAGGGCGATCCAATGCCTCTGGCCTCTGAGGGCAACTGCACTCATGTGCATATAGCCACACACAGACACAAACATATACACATAATTAAAAGTAAAATAAATCGAGCGGGTTGTGCTGGCGCACGCCTTTAAACTCAGCACTGGGGAGGCAGAGGCAGGCAGATCTCTGTGAGTTTGAGGCCAGCCTGGTCTACATAGTGAGTTCAGGTCAGCTGGGTCTACAAGGAGACCCTGTCTCAAAAAGACAAAAATAAATAAATAATAAAAGTAAAATAAATCTTTAAAAAAATAAACAACTCAGGCAACAAGGGGTCACGAGTGGAAAAAGTCTACTATACCTGGTCTAGCAAATCTGCTAACATGTGGGCTGCTGGTGGCTTGCTTGCAAAGTGAGGGTGATGCTATGGGCTCCTGGGGCTGCTGGGAAGGCTGATGGTTGGACAAGTATGCACAAAACACTCTGCACAAGGCCAAGAAAGGAACATCTGTAGTCCCTAAAGACACAGACGGGCACTTGTGATGTGAGGGGCAGGTAGGACCCACACCCCCTGTGGGCTCAGATCAGATGAGAAGCCTCCTCAGCACCCTCCTTCCGTAGCAGGTAACACCATGGCACTCTTACAAACAACACAGGTACTTGGAAAGCAGAGGAGGAGAACTGAAAGAGGATGGCAGAACCAGACCACAATACTGAGGCCAAGAGAAGGGGGGCCTTGTTCAGAGTCACGTGGAAGGAGTAACAGTGGAGCTGGGCTTCCAGGGGAGCCCTAGTGCAGTCCTACCCTCATACCACGATATATGCAGACCCTAGCCCCAGCTGCTTCGTCCAGTGGCTGACATAGGATCAGAATTCTATTTCGGAAGAGTCATCACAATGGGTCAGGAGGTAGCAAAGACATGAGGTACAGCATCCCGAGAATGGACCTTGTTCTCACAGCATACAGAGGAGCACTCAGAGGCATGTATTCCATGTGAAGCCTCTGGAGGAGGCACAGCCCCACCCCACTACCCAGATCCTGTGTGACCTTGAGCAGGTTGCCTAGTCTCTCTGAGCCTCTTGATTAGTCATGTGCAATGCCTGTCTTCTGTTCCATAGTCAGGCAAGTTATCCATTGCACAACCAGCCCAATGCTACAACACCTAACGCTTAAAGGTTCTGATGTAAGGCTCCTCATGGGGGCTTTGCATGTGAGGTGATGCAGTGAAGGCTGGAGCTGGCGCTGGGCCTGGCGTGTGTAAGAGCTCTCCTCAGTGGACTGTACCTAGGGCCACCGTCACCAGCTGCTGTGGCTAGGAAGGCCTGCTGTGCTCTGTATATTTTTTCTACAGGGGCTAAAAGCCCAAGGTTCAAACATTCTCCTGAGTATGAGCTTGAGAAAATTTCAGATATGGGACCAGGAAGTTCTCCAGGAACGCTGGAGAACTAAGGTGCGGACTGGGCTGTAGTTCAGTGTGGGAACAGCATGGTTCAGTGAGCATGGGGCCCAGGTGTTAAAGTCCTTGCATTAAAAAAATAAAATAAAATAAAAGTGAAGATGGTTCTTACTGGAAAGGCAAAGAAGAAGTCCTAGAACCTCAGATGGGAAACACGTTTACCAAATCCCTTGTTCCCATCTTGAAACTTGGAAAGCTGGAAGGTGATTCATTTAAGAAGCCATGCCTTGGGGCTGGAGAGATGGCTCAGCGGTTAAGGGTACTGGCTGCTCTTGCAGAGGATCCGGGTTCGATTTCCAGCACCCACATGGTCTGTAACTCCATTTCCAGGGGATCCAGTGCCCTTTTCTGACTTCAGTGGGTATTGCACCCCCCCCCACAGATAAATAGTTTAAAATAAAAAAGAGAGATGGCTTAGTGTTAACAGCACTTGTTGGTTTTTTTTTTTTTTTTTTTTTTTTTTTTTTTGAAAAGGTTTCCCCTTCAACTGGCCTGGAACTCACTATGTAGACCAGGTGGCCTTGAACTCAGAGATCTGCCTGCCTCTGCCTTCCATGAACCGGGGTTTTCACAGAAAAGGAAACCAAGAAACTTTTTTTTTTTTTTGTCTTTTTGAGACAGGGTCTCCCTGTAGCCTCAGCTGTCCTGAAACTATGTAGACCAGGCTGGCCTTGACCTCACAGAGATCCGCCTGCCTCTGCCTCCCAAGTGCTGGAATTAAAGGCATGTGCCACCACACCCGGCCCCAAGAAACTTTTTCGTTTGAGGTTTTTTTTTTTGTCTTTTTGAGACAGGGTCTCCTGTAGCCCCAGCTGGCCT